GTGTGCTAGCTTACATTCCTGTGCTTCTCTGTAACCCTCGATATGTGTGCTAGCTTACACTTCTGCGCTTCTTTGGCCATTTGAGTAACTCTGACTGATTGTGGAACATTTTAGGATGAACTTTAAAATACAGCTTGTTTTAGATTTACTTACAATTTCCCAGCTAGTTTTGGTTCTGAAGGAATTACGCATCAGCTAGTGGATATGATGTGGAAGTTATGTCTTTGGTCTCTCCTAGTTGTGTATTACTCGTGTCTGCATCATTCTAAGGAGGTTTTTAGGATAAGAGCACCCTGTACACTAATGAGAAGATGGGATTGGTGATGTTCCTCTGTTTCTTAGTCCTGTAATTTCAAGTTTCATATTTTAAGATTTCTTGAAATGCACAGTCTTGCATATCTTTGTAGCTATTCTATGTAAAAGGAGTGTTTTAGATTTGAACTGATTATTATTTCAGCATAAGTGTGTAAACAGTCTCTCTAACATACACTTTAGTGACAATACTACCCTAAATTAGATGTCTGTAGGTAGCAGCAGGCATAGACTGGCTTGTGAACTTAGTAGCCATTTTAGCTAGCTGTGAATTACAGTAAAAACAAAAGTCATGTTTCTAGATTGAATTTGACATGGAGGGTAAAATGAGAAGAGAAACTATATGTTGCTTTTTTAATCAGTAAGTCACCTTTGTATGTAGCAGTCTTTATTAAAACAATTCAAGTATCACTTTCCTAGTCTATGCACAGGCTAAGTATCTTTTGTGTCTGATGTTAGAATCAATGCTGTTCTAGACTAAATTATTGAAGACAACTGATTTTAGAAGTTGAGTGTTGATAGGAGTTTGAGTGCCAGGTCTTTTCAGTCGCTAATTTTGCTATCTTAAGCAAACAAGTATTATCTTTTTGCTTTCTTACACATATTGGTGGTGGTCCAAGGGCTTCTGGCCTTTTTCTTTCTACAAAATATTTAATAATGCTATAAAGGCAGACTCCAGAGTAAAGACCATCTTAATTGGATATCCTTGAGTATATCTAACCTGAAATTTAAATATTCCAAACTCTAAATTTTTGTGTACCATTGTAGAACCTCAGTGTCAAAGCCCACACAAGTGCATCAGAAATACTGTATTAAAAAAAAAACCTTCAGTTTCTGTGGATGTAGGGTAGCATTCATCTTTAGAGTTTGTTCCTATCTGCAAGATACTCATTAATACCTCTGCTGTCCCCAAACCCAGAATTATTTGGATCTGAATTAGCATCTAAACACTTTTGATAAGGAATACTAAACCTGTATCAGTTAAAATTGTTTTAAAGAAATGAAGGGAAAACATCGAATTATTAATAAAAAAAAGTTCAAAAGATGGTCAGTTAATCTATCTCTTTAATATCTTTACTCTTTAGAATTTATCAGTTCTTTTACCAGAATGGATTAAAAATATTTACTGGATTTGAAGTCACATAAAATTTATTTCTAAATTATAATGAAGGACACACATTTAGTGCTAATGCAAGTTCAAAATCTTTTTTCTTGATAACAATTTATCTATATTTCCTGTTTCTTAAGTTAGGAGACCCTACTACTAATAAAGAGAAACAAGATAGTGTCTGTTATTCTGAAACAAGCAGAGGAGAAGGCTTTTACCTATACTGTAGTGGAACTTTTTAAATTCTCATATTATATCCCAACTTCACTTTCTCTTCTCTCCTCTCACTCCACCCATCCTCTCTCCCCAAGATCCTCTCCACCTCCTTTCCCTTCAGAATAGGGCAGGCCTCCCCTCCCAGGGATGTCAAGCAAACAAGGCATATCAAGTTATAGTAAGGTTAGGTGCATTCCCTCATTAAGGGTGGGCAAGGCAGTCCAGCAGGAGGAAAGGGTCTCGTCTCGAAAGCCAGTAAGTCAGAGACAGCCTCCATTCCTATTGTTAGGAGTCTTGCAGGAACACCAAGCTACACAACCTTAACAGGTGCAGAGAACCTGGCCAGACCCTGCAGACTCCCTGTCCTTCCCTGCTTCAATGGGCCCTTGGTCCTTTTCTTGTAAATTGTAGCTTTATTATGTAAATAACCCCAGCACTCGACTGACTGGGTCAGTTCAAGGACAGACAACCTGGTCTAAGTAGCAAGATTCCGCACCTGCAGAATTTTTATATACATGTTTAAAAAAACAAATATTCAGACTCAAATGATGTTCATGGGTAGATATTCCATGTCACGATAGAACGTTGTTAGTTTTTAATAACTGCTCAGACTAGAGGGTCTTTGGTTTGATTTGGTTTTAGTTTTTTGAAGTGTTTGCATTTGTTTGTTTGTTATTTAATTTTGGAGACAGGGTCTCACTCTGTATCCCTGGCTGGCTTAGAACTCCCCAAGTAGACCAAACTGTGCTCATACTCAAAAAAATCGCCTCCCTTGACCTCCTGATTGGATTAAAGTTCTGTCGACCAGATCTAGGGCATTTTAAAGATGTTTTATTATTATAAATTATGATTTTATGATTATATTGAACAGATGCATGCCAATTTCTCTAAGTTGGTTCCTCAGGCACTGGCCATCACTTGTCTGAATCCGAGTTTCTTTGCTGATTGGTGATTGATGCTGTTTGGTTGGCCACCCCCAGACACCTACCACATTTTCAAACATGAGTTCTGGAAATGGAAGTCAGGTTCAAACACCTCTCTGATTGAGCTGTCTCCCTAGCTCATTTTTTAAATACGAAAAGTAACGTTTTATGGAAAGTGGGAAAAGTAGGCAGTTTGATGCATGGGACACCAGTGAGTAAATGTGAGGGAACATTTACATAGACAGATACCTAATCTGTCTCAGGACTTTCAGATGAACAAGAATGTCACCCAGGGCCATATCTCAGTGAAGTCATGAAGTCCTTTTGTTTTCTTTATTGACTGCATCATGTGTCAGGATGCTGTGTGGTGCTAGCGAAATAAGTCTACAATTTAAAGTCTGGTGGAGCTGAGGGAGGACCAGGGTAGAGGTAGAAGAGCAGGGGATTGGCCATCACAACACTCAGAACTGGGCTCTGTGATGAAAGTAGATATCAAGGAATACCTAATTTAGATAATTAATAGTAAGAGCATCTGAGGAGGTAGGGAAAACACATGATCAGCAGA